GGGGCGGGGGGAGGCAGGGCCTGGGAAGCCTGGAGGGGACCAGACTGTGCGCGATGCTATCTAGGTCCCAAAGAGGCAGTAAGACCAGTTAAGAGCTCCACCTCTTACTAGCTTTGTGACTCTGAGACCATCACTAAACTTCTCTGAGCTCCATTTCATCTATCAAATGGGAGAGGTAAATGTGTCTTCCCCACTGCCACTATGGAGATAAAATGAAAGAATACTAGAAAGTTTCTTAGCACATGGCCTAGTACATAGTGGATGGTGAATAAAAATCTGCTCTTTTTTTTTTTATTTTTTGAGTTGGAGTCTCACTCTGTCACTCAGGCCACTGCAGGCTCACAGTCACTGCAGCCTCAACCTGCTAGGCTCAGACGATTCTTCTGCCTCAACTTTCCAAGTAGCTGGAACCACAGGCATGTGCCACCATGCCCAGCTAATTTTTCTTAATTTTTTATAGAGATAGGGTCTAGCCATGTTGCCCAGGCTGGTCTCGAACCTGTGGGCTCAGGCAATCCTCTTACCTTGGCTTCCCAAAGTGCTGGGATTAGAGGTGTGAGCCACCGCACCTGGCCCAAAGTCTACTCTTCCTATGAGGGGCCAGCTGTGTGGGAAGGAGGGCCTCAAGCCCCCTCATAATCCCACAAATTGACCAGATGCTATGGTTCACGCCTGTAATCTCAGCACTTTGGGAGGCTGAGGCAGGAGGAATACTAGAGCCCAGGAGTTTGAGACCAGCCTGGGCAACATAGTGAGACTCCATCTCTATAAAAAATTAAAAGAAAGAAACAATTCCACAATCCCCTCTCCTCAACAGCCTTTGATGTGGGAGTCACCCTTCCCAATCTTACGTGAGTGCTTTGTGAAAAGGCAGCTTCAAGCCCCTCCCAATCTGTGACAGCCCCATCCCCTCCCTCACATAGCGCCCAGAGCCCAGGGCTCCCAGAGCTTCTGCGGAGTCAGTGAGACAGAGGATTCCAGATCTCAGCTCAAGGCCGACAGACCCTTGATCTATGCTGAATCTGGATCTCATAGCTCCATCCCAGAGCCTCCCCTTCCCCTAGGGACACCAGGGGCACATGAGAGGGTGCTGGACAGTGTGGCCCAGCAGCCAGGCCTGTGGGAGCCAATGATGTCTGTTCAGCACTGCTCTGGGTCCCTTTGGGACCTATGCTTGCTCTGAGGGCCTGCTGACAGCTGTGGTGCCGTGTGGCCTCTTAAGGCCTCCTGAACTGTCCCTTATTCCTTATCCCCAGCCCTACACACTGTACCCAGGAAGACTACTCAGCTCAGACCTAGGCCCAGAGGCTGCCTGAGGTTCTGAGGGCAGCTGGAGATCCTTCTCATCCAGGAAGCCCACTCTGATTCACTGGTTCCCAGATGGCACGCCTCCTTTCCTCAACCTATCCATGCCATCTACCCAGGACCTGTTTGCCCTCAGACTGGGGGTACTCTGAGAGCAGAAAAGAAGACTTGTCCATCTCATTATCCCTGGCAGCCCAGCACACAGGATGAATGGTCCAAGTGCAAGCCCAGCCTGGCTGTCCCTGCCTGCTTCCAGAAGTCCTGATAAACTAGACTGCGATGGACTTGCCCTCTTCCCTGAAGTTGCCTAACCTGCCCCCACCCCCCATTACATCCAGTGCCCTCCTGCTTGCCCCCATTTGGCCCCTGGCTGCTCAGATGGCCCTACTACAGCCCCCTCTGAGGGGACCCTACTTTTTTTGGAGCCCTGCTTGTTTAAAACCCACCCGTTCTGTATGTCTGCTGCTGCCTGGTAGCCAGAGGATAGCCATTCAGATGGAGAAATGGCGGTCCACAGGGCTGGGGATTACTTGTTCCTCCCTGGGGATGCCAGACACTTTTCTGGGGCTCCAGAGGACACGGAACTTCCCCCAAACTAACTCCCTTCCTGCCCCTCAAATTGCAGAATTCCCAGAGCCTCAGGGCTTGTCTGTGTCCAAGGCCCGATGCTGACACCCGTTCTTAGCACCTGGAGAAGGGATTATTAAGTCCAGGGTGCCTGAGTCTGAGCCAGCCAGCGGGACCTGTCTGAGGCACACAGCAAGTCTGAGGCTCCCTGGCTCCTGGGAAGACGAATGTGGGAGGCTGCCTGGGCCTAGCCAACCCCCTTCCTGGCCTCCTTCTGGTGCCTTTGAGCCACTCTCAGGAACAAGTCTGCCCTCTTGTTGGCCAGGTTCCTTCTCCTTTATCTCTGAGGAGAGGCCTGGGAGGCAACGCTCCGCCCCACCCCTCAGGCCAGATCCCTGCCACGGCCACCCCCAGACACTGCTGGGAAGAGGGGCAGCTTGTCAGAGGGCAGCTGCAAGGCCAGCCAGGGTTAGGGAATTGGTGTTTGGTCTCCACGAAACCAGGGAGCCTGGGCAACAGGGTTCCCAGAGCCCTGGTCAGGCGTCTCACCCATTACACTTCTTAGGCCTCTGTTTCCTCACTGAAGATGGCCACAGCAACCTTTGCCCATCCTCCTGCCCATGAAGAGTGGGACAGAGCAGAGGGATTCTGGCTCTGTTCCTGTCCTCTGGCCCCCTCCTTGGTCCAGGAAAGCCTGAAGGAAGAAGACTTAGAACAAAGGCTGCCTCCTGTCCCCTAGGTTCTGGCCTCCTCAGTCTTCCTGTTCAGACTCTAGGACTGGCCTCCTCCACCCCTTCCTCCCCAGCTGGCCCCACTTCAAACAAGACTACCTACTCCTTAGAACCCATAAGCTCTGCCCAGTCATCAGGGAACAAGAATACCCAAAGGGAGGCCATCACAAAACCCGTTCCTATGCGGCCATCCACCTTGAAAGGAGATACCTTTAGAAACATAGAAGAAACTTAGCTTTATTCTTGGTTTAGTCTTTTTTTGCCTCTGCATAACCATTGGAAAGCATTCAGACATTCTACTGCAACCTTTCAATTCATAGTTCAGCGTAATAATCTCTAGTAAACTTTTAGGTTCCTTGTCAAGGTGAACATTCAAAAATCACACTTTGCCTAGTCAGAGCCATAAAAGTGATAGTACAACAGGACTACCTTTGGTCAAGGAGTTTGGGGATTGCAAATGTCTGACAATTCTCTTTCAGGAAAAGCCCCTCTGGGGCCAAACCCCCCAAGTTAACCTAATCAGCCGTTTGTGACCTACATGACTCAGACCCCACCGTGGCAGCAATCACATGACTAACCCACCCATCTGCCCACTGTCCATCACCTGACGTGATTACCTGAGCTTGCCTGCCCCTTCATGATGATGTGGAGCAGACCACCACCCAATCACCTTAATGATCTTCCACCACCAAGGGGAACGGTTGAAAGGACTCAACCACAAGCAGTCATTGGCCATTTTAATCTAACTTCTGTGCAATTCTTGGCATCTTCCATGTGGCATTGGATCGCACCCCAGACGGCCACATGTGGGAAGTAATCTCTTTTTAAATAAATCTTGTCTTCGCCTCTTTGTGTTGCAGATCTTTGTGTTACTCGAATCTCCGGTTACTGGTGCTGTGCCCCCTCCAGAACCTCTGTACCTAACACACCTCTCAACTTAACTTCTCCCCAGCCAGTTCCCACCCGAATGCCCAAGGAAATGGGGTGGGCGTCACAGCCTGCCGACCTAGAAGATGAGCCTGCAACTGGCACAGACACCCTCTGGGGGCCACCTCCCTGTCACAACCTGGAAGACCAACACTACGGGGGAAGCTCTTGGCCCCCAGAAGTGACCAAGGCCAACGGTGGATGGTTCCAAGGACAGCACAGACCAAAGTGGTCAGTGACCCTCTGTGTTGGCACCTTTTGTTTCTTTTTTGTTTGTTAACTCCTGTTGTTGATACAATGTTGTTTGTAGTCCATAAAAATGAACAAAAGTTCTATTCTTAGTGTTAGCGTTTTAATGACTCTTCAGAGCAAAGGATAACACCACCTTCCTTCCTTCCTTCAGGCGCAATATCTGAAGGTGACCATCAAGAACCGAGCTTGTGACTTTCCAGCTGCCAGAATAACCCTCCCAGCCTCCACCTGCCCCTCACTCCAGCTAACCAGGCCAAAAATCCCAAGGCATTGCTTACCTGGGCCTCCTCCCAGTCCTCAGCCACCCCGAGCAGAAGTTTCCAAGGCCCGGCCTGGATGAGATCTTAGCCACTCCCTCTCTCTGGTTTCTCTTCTTCACAGCTTTGTTTTTTTTCTTTTTTGAGTCAGGGTCTCACTCTGTTGCCCAGGCTGGAGTGCAGTGGTATCACCACAGCCTCGACTTCCTGGGCTCCAGCAATCCTTCTGTCTCAATCTCCCATGTAGCAGTAGTTGGGACTACAGGCACCACCATGCCTGGCTAATTTTTTAATTTAATTTTTTTGTACAGACAAGGTCTCGCTATGTTGCCCAGGCTGGTCTCAAACTCCTGGGTTCAAGCAAGTGACGCTCCCGCATGGGCCTCCCAAACTGCTAGGACTTCAGACATGGGCCACCGCGCCTGGCCCTTCCCAGCCTTCTTGAAGAAGAAATCTCCCCCTCATGAGAAGAAGAAATCTCTTCCTTCTGTCATGGCTGGCCTTGATGGTGGCCCTGAGGGAAGGGGTTTGGTGGGGGCTGCTGGGAGTGTGGAGACCGTGAAATCCCTGCCTGCTCCTCGCCCAGGTTGTGTGCTATGGCTCCTGTGGACCCCTCCAGCTCACCCAGCACAACCCA